CTATCTATCTATCTATCTATCTATCTATCTATCTATCTATCTATCTATCTATCTATCTATCTATATCTAAGATTTAAAGATATTTTTCAACTGCACGGTGTTGAATATAAATTGTACAACTAATACATGACCCAAATAAGGCTGCAGAATTGAAATGATTGTAAAATAAGCAAATTAATGTATTTCCTGGTAAAACACATTGAAATGCATGCTTTCCCTTCATAGGTAAAACCCCAAAGGGGCAATGAGTCTGTCCAGGAATAGAAAATGGATGTATTTTTATATCATAATAAATCAGAATTTTTATGTTGGTATCATATTTGCTTGTCTATGTCAGACAAAAAAAGGAAGATGTCTGTCTTTAATTTCATGTTTAATACTGGGCAAAAACAACACATATCGAGAGAGAAATAATTTAAACTATATACACAAAATGTCATTTGAATATTTATTTCAGCAAAAATACATAAAAAGGACTTTAGCTTAAATTATTAACAGCTATAATACATTTTCTATTGATGAAACTATTAACTGTTTTTACATTGTTTTAAACCGGATCTCTAAAACAACCAAATTCAGTCATAAGTACAGACAAAATTATTTTTGACAAATGGAATTAGGTCATCATATTTTTTAATAAAAGGGATCCTGGCAGGGTGTCGTCAAAAACAACAATAAAGTGCTGGATTCCAAATACTGCAAGGCACGAACTATCAATAACAAGATTGCCTTTTTGCTTCTAATATAAAAATATAAGAATAACAAACATACAAAAGGATCCGTAACAGCACAAGTAAAACCTTGTCTAAATTCTGTTTTGTTTTACATTGTACAAGAAATTACAGCAGAAATATATACATTAGATTCTTTTACAAATCCACATTTTGGGATTTGAAAACACAAGACATATTAAAACAAAGACTCCAAGCTATTCCACAATAAAATAAGAAAAAAAAAAAACAAGTAATACAAGTCATCAACTTCATCCTAAAATGTATCTGATATCTATATATCTATATATATATCTATCTATCTATCTATATAGATAGGTATATATATATATATATATATATATATATAGAGAGAGAGAGACAGAGAGACAGAGAGAGAGAGAGATACATAAAAATCCTTTGGCTCAGCCATTATTCAACACAATATCTTAAGATTTTCAAACTAACATGAGAACAAAGAGCATCAAATAATTTTAAATATTTTTTTCACTTGGGCTTGTTTAATAATAACCTTAATTTAACCACATAAAACCTTAATAGGATCTAAAATCCCTTTTTTTATGAGAGACATAGACTAGAATTCAACTTTATTTTCAATACATAGTTACAGTACAAAGCAACTAAAATTCACTCTCCGCATTTAACCCATTCCTTTGGGGAGCAATGAGATCCAAGCGCAATTCTCTAACCACTCGGCTTACGCTGCCTAATGGGTTTATGGGACATTGGTTTATCTGATATTTTTCAATGCACAGCAAAGACTTGAGTGTAGAAATAATGAACAGCAGGTCCAGATGCTGTTGTATAAATATCACCCCATGGCAAACATAGTTTATGAGGTGACCAAAATAGTAATTTAACTTCTATAAAATAAAACAAGCAATGATCTTCATTTGACAAGTTACTAAAAACATAGAATATGTCCATCCGTATTCATCTTCTTTTTCCTTTCCATCTGATTTTTTTTTCTAACCATGCTGCAAATGTAGAAAAAAAATGACTTCAGCTGCTTTAAAATGTCAGACTTGTCTTCATCTTGTTTAGAGACATTACTGATCAGCCTTACTGTATTAAGGGTCTTTTTTATGGAGGTCCAGACCCGAACAACAGCTGCGTTCTTTAACTTCCCACCTAAACATCCATAGTTCCAACCTCTCACGAACGCATCATCCTTTCCTCAAACGGCACTGACGTGATTCCTAGCCATCTTTTCTTTCTGTACTCATTTCTTCTTGAGGCTTAATGATGATATGAACTGGCCTCTCTCCACTGCCCTCTTGCTGCTTTGTGTTTTTGTCCCCATTTTCATACACCTCCTCCTCGGCCGAGGCCCCGATGGGCCGCAGACGTTCGCCAGACGCCGTCTGTGTTCCAGCTGCTGAACCGTCCCTTTTCATCTTGTCATTGCTGCCATGTTCTGAGCTGACTTTCTCTGCTGCACAAGTAAATCAATGCAAATATGTCATATTTTCCGCATTTATTTTACTGACATTTAAAGTGCACATGGAGGCTTGTGACACACTTACCAGGACAGTTGTTTGCTTGTCTGTCTGTACTGGTGGAACTGTCCGTGGTCCTCTTTGCCGTAGGCTTGGTTCGGGATCGAACTTTGTTAAAATTTCCTTCTAGGATCCACTGATGCTGCAGTCCTTCATCAGGAGTCATTCTCTTAGTTGGATCCCAACTAAGAAGAACAGGAAAAAAACTTATATTACGAAAGAAAATGTAAATCTCTAAACTTAAAACAAGCTTTAGACAATAATTGTTTATAATGTCAATGCAGCATGCAGAACCAAAAAGAAGTACCAAATCCAATGATGTTTCATAGATGTGAAGCTGAAACTTACGCAAGACAGCGCTGGATAAAATCCAGGAATAAAGGATCGTTGGTTTTCAGTGCTGCTGATATCTCTATGGAGTCGGGTTTCCGTTTCTTCCCTTTGCTGTTGGTGATGTTCCTTGGGTTTCCTTTGGAGTCTGCGCACAGAACATAATCATATATTAGATTAAACGGCTTTTAAAAGGCC